GATGGCTCAGAGGTTAAGAGCACTGGCTGCTCTTCCAGAGGTCCTGAGTTCAATTCCCAGCAACCACATGGTGGCTCACAACCATCTATAATGAGGTCTGGTGCCCTCTTCTGGTGTGTAGGAATACATGTAGACAGAACCTTGTATACATGGTAAATAAATAAATCTTTTAAAAATCAATAAACGATGAGGAGCAATATTTCCACACAAAGAGGGGGAGGGAGTAGATAAAATCAGATAACGGGTAAATAAGTGGGTACTTTATATTCTCTGCTACTACAATTTTCCCTTCATTAGTCTTCACCTCCCTTTCTGCCCCAGAGGAGTGCTGTGAATGACTCTCTTCCTCTGGATCCTCCTTAGGTTAGCAGGATGGGAACTCCTGGAAGAAGATTACAGGGAATTGGAGAGGAGAGGCTAGAGTATTCGCTTCCCCAGTTCCCCACCTCCCTCCCCGAGAGGTTGTTTGAGACTTCCTCTGATACAAGGGCAATAGCAAGCATACACAGGACATACACCATCACTCAGTTCACGGTAACCCGAGGCCACCCCAAATCCACCAGCAGTTCGTGGTGCCATGTTCAGCTTTCATAAATGAAAGCAAAGGTACATGGTCACTAAGAGAGTGCCAGTGGTTGGCTTTGGGAAAAGGTAATGTCTGGGGCTCAGTACGCCTCCTGGGATGCTGGAAATGCTTTACTTCTGGAACCAGGTTTCCTAGATGTTCATGAAATCAAGATATTTCCTTTTGTTTTACATGTTTACCTGTGACATTTAAGAATTTATAATCTTTAAGAGGGGAAACAAATGCAATAAAAGGAAAGCTGGCTGGAGTATTATAGAAGTCAGGAGAAGAGTTCTGCAAGTCTCTCTTCTTACATTACATGGGTTTGCAAAAGGCTCAAAATAGAATTATATAAAGAATGTAAGGCACCAGCCTAAAACTAAAACTAAACCGAAACAGAAAAAAAATCTAATTATACCGGGAGGTGGTGACGCACGCCTTTAATCCCAGCACTCAGGAAGCAGAGCCAGGCAGATCTCTGTGAGTTCGAGGCCAGCCTGGTCTACAGAGCAAGATCC